TAGCAGGACAACAATTTAGTAACTGTCTATCAATTTGCATTTCGATTAGTTTTTGTAACTTTGATAAGCATGCATGCAAAACTACATACAACTACATTACAAAAATTGGTAATAAATTTGCAAACGTGTATCAAAACGTATAGTCACTCAGTAAAACATTATAAAATATTCGAAAAAGTATGTCAATGCACTTGAATAATTATTGTATGCCACATGTTAAAACGTTTGCAAATTTATACTAAAATAAATAGATAACTACATTGTAAAACACATTAAAACACCAGTACAATTATGCCAAAACATTTAAATAATCATTCCATGATACACATTAAAACACTAATAACAATTTGTTAAAATATTTAAATAACCACTCCATTAAATATACTACAGCACCAGTAACAATATGTCAAATCATTCAAATAATCATTGCATAAATTACACTAAAGCACCAGTAACACCATGTCAAATTATTCAAATAATCATTGCATAAATTACACTAAAGCACCAGTAACACTATGCCAATACACTTAAATAACCATTGCATAAAGTACACTAAAGCACCAGTAACAGTTTGTAAAATCACTTAAATAATCATTCCACAAAATGCATTAAAACACAAAAAAATTAATAAAATATTTAAATAACCACACCATAAAACACACTGATAAATCCGTATACACATGCGCAATCACTTAATAAAACACACTAATAAAGTCACTGACACTTGTTGAATCACACCATAAATTTTATTAATACACCCCCATATTTATTAAAAAATATTTATTAAAGCACACTAAACACTAGTATTAGCACACTAGGTACACTTATATATCCGTATATGCATGCAGGAAACACACTGTTAAAATCACTGACACTTGTAGAATTACACCATAAATTTTATTAATACACCCACGTATTTATTAAAAAATATTTGTTAAAGCACACTAAAGACTAGTAGTAGTACTCTAGGTAACCCGGGGACAAGCACAATATCCGAAAAGTGAAGCCTTGACTCGTACCGGTAAGTGTTGACAGGTGATATCCGACCTCCTCGACTTCCAAAATAAAACTGAGAGCGTTTGACCTCCCTCTACTGCGAGAGTTATTGGTAGTTGACAACAACCAATTAGACATCGTAATGAACAACAGCCAATTAGACATCGTAATGATCCACCGATCGATCTAATTCGATCTCTTGGAGTGATTCGTGATTTACAGTAACCAATTAGACATCATGTAATCGACCAATAGCGTGCAGCCACTATGATTGCATGTTGTATTATTATTCTAATGTCAATTTTTTAGAATTTTATATTGTTCGATTGTTTATTAACAAATTTATTGTTGCAACTATTTAAATTTATTATTTTTTTTAACTCATTCTTACAGATATGTTGCAAAATGATTGTTAATTAATATATTACGATATATTTTATTATAACTCATTATTATATAAATTAATTATTGTAATTCATTATTTTAATAACTTCCTCGCGCGAATATCTTGTAAATTATCTACGAATCATTGTATTCAAATTTATTTTTATGTAATTTTTTGTAATTACTTACTACCGAAGAGTCTCAGTATAGTGTGTGAACTGCTTTGAACTCATAATAGTTTCATATTTTTCGAAAAGTTCCACCCTTATATATTGTTATAAATTCAAATTTAAAATGGAACAAGTGGCGCCATCTCTCCGGCGAACAAGGTGAACTACACGGTTTTGAAACTGTAGTTTCGTTAGTTCTCCACACTGCCACTGGACGGCGTGACGTGTATCGTTTTCCGTTAAAGGGACAGCGTTTTCGAGAGAACAAAGGCGTCGACAAAGAGTGTCACCACTGGTATATTCTGCGGCTGTGTTCAGAAAAACCACTAGTGCAGTACCAATATACCATCTGTTGAAATAATCAGAACTAAGGTAAGCAGAACAAAATATAGTAACATACATTTATTCGCACTTATATGTTGGTAATATATGTAACATCGCGAGAAGGTGATACCGATGAACTAAATGTTTAAAAAATTGTATTCAAGAATTCTATTATTTGTTCAACCAGAAAATGAACCAGAATTGTAGTTATTGCAGAAACATATTTACAGGTAAAAAATAAAATAAGTAAAAATATGTTTTATCGTAAAACCGTAAGCAGCGTTCTTTATAGCGGATGAGTAACACAGTAACGCGATTTAAGGAATTTCTTGAAGTTCGAATCCTTCTACGTTAATCTTTTAATTGTAAGTAACCGAACAGTCTATTATTTATTTATATCATTAATTTTTGTTCTACGTAATAAGAAAATACATTTTCTCATTGTAGCATACAAAATGGCTTTACCTCCAAACTATAAGCAAGTAGCCATGGCTACATCCAATATCGTTGCATCCAATCGTAAGTATTACTAACCCTTCCAATTTTATTCAACTAATTTTTCCATTCATAAATATCTAAGGAGTAATAATTATTTTTTAGAACGACTTAGAGCATCTGGTGGAAGTAGCAGTAGTTCAACGAACAGCGTAAGTAAATCTATTTATAAGTAATATATAATTGTTAAAATGTAAAATTAATTTTTATATCAATCTTTAGAAAGATGCACAGAGTCCATTTATTCAAACACCCCATAGTCATCCAGGATTTACACCTCAGAAAGTTGGAAAAAATACAAATGTAAGAATTTTTTATATATTGTAATACTAGCTTTATGAATGAGATCATACTTATTCGTATTTTAATCAAACAGGCTGATTCTCGTATGCCTAAACCACCTAAGCCACCAGAGAAACCGCTTATGCCTTATATGAGATACAGTAGAAAAGTATGGGATCAAGTAAAAGCACAAAATCCAGAATTAAAACTGTGGGAAATAGGAAAGATTATTGGTCAGATGTGGAGAGATTTACCAGAAGAGGATAAAACAGAATTTATTGAAGAGTATGAAGCAGAAAAGGTATAAAACAATATTATCTATATTTTGAAATAAAAATAGTACTAATATTTTTCATGTATTAAACAGGTTGAATACGAAAAGAGTTTAAAGACTTACCATAATTCACCTGCATATTTAGCTTATATTGCAGCAAAAAATAGAGGAAAGTCAGGTACATATTATTTTTAATAACTTTTACGTGTTATTTTGAAAAAATTGAATGATATTTTATGTTTAAAACAGCGTTGTGCGCGGCACAACAAAATACTGATGATCGAGAAAGTCACGAACGTTCGTCAGGTAGTACTAAGGGTCAAGCAGCTCAAGATAGAAGAATAGATATCTTACCGGCGGAAGATGATGATGGTACGTAAGCAGATATAAATAAAAAAGATACAACTGATTGACATTTTTTATTTTATTTTGCAGACCAAGATGATGGATATTCTGTAAAACATGTTGCATATTCGCGATATACACGAAATCATCGTCTTATTAATGAAATCTTTAGCGACACTGTTGTTCCTGATGTTCGCTCTGTTGTTACTACACAACGGATGCAAGTATTACGCCGTCAAGTTCAGTCTTTAACGATGCATCAGGTAATACAAACGAAACAGAAACGATTAATTCTCCATTAATGTAATTAATAAAACATTAAACTTTGAAATATTTACAGAAAAAGCTAGAAGCGGAACTACAACAAATAGAAGAAAAATTTGAAGCAAAGAAACGTAAATTTATTGAAACAAGTGAAATATTTCAAGAAGAATTAAAAAAAGTAAGTTATTCCTTTTTTTGAATAGATACATTGAAATACTAACGAAGTTTTTTTCAGCATTGTAAACCTGCAGTAGATGAAGAAACATTTAATAAAATGGTAGAACGACAATATGAGGCACTTAGACGAGATAGATTAAAAGGTGCAGAAGAAAATCGTTCGGATGGACCTGCATCGAGTGAATCAACTCCAAACTCTACTCCTACACCAACTCCTGCTCCTGTTAATGACGAAACTCCATCTGACGTAAGTATTGGTTATAATAATATTAATTATTTTAGAATTTGTATAATATTAATATTATCCTCTTCTTTTTAATAGATGCCTGACAGTGATACAATGGACAAAAAACAAAACGGATCTGAAAAACCTAACGAAATAAAAAAGGAAACATCTTCTCCTCCATATAATGATAATAAACCTGAACCCCCGGCAATCCAAGCAAGTTCTAATCAACATACATCTAACTCTGCAATGTACTGTGGGACCGTTAGTCCAATTCAGCAGCAGCAGCAACAGCAGCAGCAGCAGCAACAGCAGCAGCAGCAGCAACA